ATTCATTTTTAGTGACCATTCTACTGTACTCGGAAAATAGAAGTTTAAGAACACCTAATCCTTTAGATGGGTGCTAGTTTGTACTGTACATTACATCAGGAAGTGTCTATGGTGATGCCAGGTTTGGCTACTTTAAAAATAGAAACTAAATTTGGCATACTCTTTTGGCACCAAAAAATATTTTCTATTTTTTCAATCTTCAAAATTACAGATTTCTTTTAACTTTGTTTTGTTTAACTATTCTGATATATTGCTCCACACTTCAAGGGTGTAAATTTCAAGTAAATTGTTTTATCTGTGATTATGGCTCTGTTGTTTTCTAATATAGTATGGTTTGTGCATGTCTACCAATTTGTGTTTCTTTGCAAGCTCTTGGTGTATTATATTTGCTACTTGATTGTGTCTATGTAAGCAATCTGTCTGTGCCAAGAGCTTGCACCCAGAAGTGATGTGTTGTATAGTTTCTGGCATAATGTGACATTTTCTGCATGTGTCATTTGTGAGTGTTGTATCTTTGAGTATGTGTTTTCTGTAGTTTTTAGTATTTATGACCTGATCCCGTATGGCAATCACAAATCTTTCCATCTCCCCGATCTAACTAGCTGTTTTGTCAACAAAATCCTGGGCCAGGTCATAAGGAAACCNAATACTCTCTCTCTCTTTAAAAAATGGTTTATATTAAATATAAAGAGAGAGAATCTTTTATTCAAATTTAATTTATTTATCGCTAATTAAAATGATTTTTAAATGGTAATGTACGCTTAAATTATAATAAAATTAAATAAAGATTGATTTTGTTATTTAATTATCTTACATGTTAGTTTAATCTTTATTCATGATATATTGCATGTAATTCAGTGGTATTTTATGTAAACTGGTATGTGATTTATTTATTTATTTATTTAAATTATTTTGGTAATAAATAATATAAATAAATAAATAAATAGAACTTTACACAATGTTAATACGTACAAAAATATTTTAAAATGATTCAATTTATTAAAACGTAATGTAAATTATGTTTATTTATGAAATGAAGAGGTACTGTAAAATGAGCTACATTCAAATCTATAACAAATTCATTTCTATTATTATTTTATAAAGAATGTTTATTTTAAAAAAATTTAAGTAAATAATAATTTAACTTTAAATGATATCAAACATTATAAAATTATATATATTCATATTTATAAAGTAGATATATTTGCATATACAGTGGACTCTTGATATAGTGATCACGCGATATAATGAAGGATTTAGTTCATCCCTTTGAGAGTGCATTATATTGAGAACACACTGTATATAAAATTTCTGTGTAAATATCTGTTGTTTGCACACACACACGCCTACACACACATATATATAGGCCTATAATTTAGCGTTTTATTTTCTTACAAAATTACCAAATTTTAACGTGAAATTCGGATAAATTTTTTATAAAAATTTATAAATAGTTAATGTATTTTTAAAGCGTAATTCAAGCTTTTCATTTTGTTATATGTATAAAAAATTTAAAAATAAGATAAATCTAATACTTATTTAAAGTACCTGTGACTCATTAACACTCTTCAGTATCAACTTAACAATTCTTTATCATCCAAAAAAATGAATATTTTCCTAGAAAATGTGATTACGGAATAATTTCCAGAATTGAAACGTCCAAATAAACATACATTCTACTAAATTATTCCTAATATCGGTCATTTGCGATAAGGCTATCGAAATTTTCTTCTCTTATTATAATATATAACATTTAAAATTGCTTTCATGCTACGTACTAAATTGTTACTAGACAATTGAAGAAATATGATTGATATTGTATGTTAACACAGAATCATGAGATAGGAGCCATTTGAGTCAGACCCTAAGTACATGATGTAATGGTCAAAATGTGGTGTGCAATATCTGTATCACGAACCATGGACCCAATTTTCTTTAACGATAGTTAATTCTGAACGCTACATTACAACCGAGTTCAATCCATTTGTCACCCAAGTGTGAGACCAAGAAAGCTTCTTCGTTACTTTTTTAGCAAGACAGCGACCATACAAAAACATTCTAAGATAATTCATCAATTTACCGTCTTATTCTACTTTTAAACATAATTTTTTAAATAGACAAACATTAATTTACATATCAATAAATGAATAAAAATCTTCCAACCTTTATTACAAAAATCTATTAACGATACAGTACATAAAAATTGAAATCTTATTTTTAGATTTTCCAATAAAATAAAATTTTACTGGAATTGTTTTTTTCTATTTAATAATTCACTCGAAAGTTGTAATTAGAGATATTTCTAATCGAAGTTAATTAAAATAGCTAATGAGTGTTCTGTTTATCTTGAACTTTCTTGCAGTTAGTTTTAGATGAACTTTTCGTTTTTTGCAAACACCAAATATAAATCAGATAGAAGTTGCTAATTAGTTTGATAAACTATACTGTATTTTGGCACACGTATCGTAATTGAGTACATCTGCTCTGTACGAAACAGTTTAAAGCCACTTAATGCTTGATACGAATAAAATCAAGTGTATAATATGTATGAAAATATTTACACCCGTAATAAATAATGCTGAAAATAGACTACAGTATATAAATAACATATTAAGTAAGAATTACAACAAACACAAGAGAGAAAATAGTGTAATTACAATGAACAATTGGGGACTTCGCGTGATTCTGAATCTTTATCGAATGAAGATTCAGATCTTATATGAAGCTATATTTTAATTTTGTTTATGAATTATCATCATCACCTTATTTTACGAGATGTTTGTAAGCATGGGAAAAAAATATATCCTTTGATGAAGAAAGGTATTACTGTCAAACTAACATTGAGTAATTAGGTTTGGGTCAATATAAGAATGAAATATCGAAAGAGATCAAAGATCTTAACGAGTCTTGTCTAATTTAATGAAGATAAATACAAAATGTCGGTCAGTAGAAGATGAGATAATTAATATTTAATTATAAATATAAAAATAAACTATAAAATTAATTTTTATAGTTTAGTTTTTAACATATAAGATTGAAAGAATATTTAAAAAAAAAAAAAAAAACGTTAATTTCTATAGCGTTTAACACGAGAATTTCGATTATTTTAGAAAGTTTTAGAACATAGAAATCTGTTTTAGATCTTTTCTAAATACATTCATTTATATTATTGTGTAAATCCTTTGTATTTATCTTGCAACCATCCTTCAAGGTATATTCGCTGTCCCCGCTGGCTAGGGTTTAAAGTCATAAATTCACAAACAGCATACAGAAATTGTAAGATTTCTGAAAACTACAAAAGTTTTTCGGTGCGTTTTAAAAAATTTTTTAATTAAATCAATTAAATTACAGTAGAGCGTCGTTTATCCGAATCAATTGGGGACTAGGGTTGTTCGGATAACTTATGTTTCGGATAACCGATTATGTACGAAAAAATATATTAACCTATACTATGTTGAAATTTTTCCCCGTCGCGTGTCGCTTCGCGTGGAATTTTCGTCGATGTTAAGCTTAACGTAAACTTTTTAAAATAATAATCGTGGCTATAGTATCATTAAAAATTATTTCTTTATTTTGTTTGTACAAAATAAATATATTGAAAAATATAAAAACAAAAAAAATTTTACTTTAGAAGTTAATCTAGTATCAAAAACGTTCGATTCAGCACCACACACGGTCCTCAGAAAAACACCACACAAAAGTGTCAGTGCTGCCAGCTAAAACACACACACCAACAAAAAAAAATATATATATTGGAGTAGCCCAAGATACAGTATAGCCAAAGATTGCAGCGCCACAGCACTAGCAAAAATTTTAATTTGCTGACTGGAATTCTTTCGGATAACCGACGCTCTACTGTAGATAGTTCTTTTACAAATTATTAAAAAATTATACTTCAGAAGTTAATTTAGTATCAAAAACATAAAATATTTGAGTAGCCCAAGACATAGCCAAAGATTGCAGTGCCATAGCACTGGCAAAAATTTTAATTTGCTGACTGGAATTCTTTCGGATAAACGACGCTCTACTGTAGTTAGTTCTTTTACAAATTATTAAAAATTGAAATTTGGGATCCTGTTTAAGTCATATGCATACTGTACAGGATGGAAAGTGCCAGAAAAGAAAAATAAATAAATCTGCCTCTAAAGTATCACCTTGATAATATCAGGATTTAAAAAAAAAAAAAGGAATAAATGAATGTTTAATTACTACTTTCTTCAGTTTTTTTTATTGTGATATATATTAGTAAAAGGAGTAATGTAATAAAAAGAACTTTAAAGAATAAACATTCTTTCTATACATTAATAAAATATATGAGGGGACTACAAATCAATGTCATCATCATCACAATTGTTATAAATGTATTATATTTATAACAATCAAATTTCCATTTATCTGTTTGTATTATAAACAGATAAATGGAAATTTGATTGTAAAATGCCAAATAAATTCAAAGCTAGATATTCTGTCAGCAGCAATTCTTTTAACTATTTTCATTAATTACTTTGAAGAATACTTATGTAATATATTGTGTTAAATAACTTCCACATACAGTAAAACCTGTGTAAACTGGAATTGCTGCAAGATACCAAATTTTTATTCCAGTTTGGCAGGTTTCCATCTCATTTAACATGGAAAGCATTCTTTGGAATGGAGTGATTTCTTCCATTTAGGCAGGTTTCACTGTATTTGATTGATGACATATTTTATAGTAACCTCTTAACCCAAACTCATTGAAAGATAAAATTAACTAAAGTTTATATAGTAAGTTCACCGAGGATGAAGTTTAGCAAAAATTGACATAAAATGCTTTAATATAGATCTACAATTAATAAATAGAAAAATTTTGATCAGTCGCCAAAGTTCTCGACTGTTTAAATATAAATAAAAATTAATTTTTATTTATATTTAAAATATAAAGAAAGTGCATTATATTCACTAGGTTAAAAAATTTCATATTCTAAATGCAGTTGGTCATTAAATCATAATTGTATTTTCAGAGATTCACACAAATTACCTGATAGTGGAACCGTCGGTCCCGATAGTCATAGAGCCGCCACCGAAAGTAAGTATTGGGCAAAGAACTCTTAAGTGCAATTTGTGGCAATCTTTTTTGAAGACTGGAAAATGGTAAAAAATATTTGTTCGTATGTCGTGTTGTAAAACTTTGTGATTTTATTTTTTCAGGTGAAGAAAAAGCATCACAGAAACAAGAAGAAGAACCAGCAGGGGAAGTGTAGTCAAAAAACTGATTCCTGTAATTTTAACTACTTCTCTAGTCTTAATAACTGTGATATTAGCAATGCTACAAATTTAGATCAGAAGGGTACGGCGGAAAGAACTAAGGATAGTGTGAACTGTGAGAACACTTTTGATATTAAACAGAATATTCAAAAATGTAGAGAGAAAGAGAGACCGAAAGCCGTGCCACTTCAAAACTTGACTAACGGTCCAAGATATAACGGTATTGTGCCCGATGTTTCGGACGACAAATTCAGCTTCAAGAAATTCTTAAAGTTGCAGAAGAAGAATTCTTTCTAGTCTTTAGAAAAAACACTTATTTTAATTGTTTTATTTGAAATATTTCAAAATCATTAAATTATTAAAATCATTAATCATTTTAAAAGTTTGTAAATTGTTCTTATTTATAATTTATACACTTACGCTGCAATTTACACTCTCTGCTGAAGCTTTCCGATTAACGAGACGGTATCGTCGACGAGAATGTCGAAAATAGCATCGGAAAGTTCGGTTTTGATAAATATCTCGTCCTGTTCGTAATTTACCCAGGAACACTCTTCTTCTCTCAGTTCTTTTATTAATATATTGTCCACGAAGTCGCGTTTCTTTCGACCCAGTTTCATAACTGATTCGTTCTTCTTAGATTCCGTAGCAATGTTCTTTATGCCTAGTAACTGGAGCGTCTTTTCGACTACAGTGTTTACAAATTGTTCGCCGTCTCGAGGAAATGATTTTTGCGTCAGCTTCCACGTTTTTGTCCACGGAGCAGGTTTCTCGTTGGCTTTACTAAAAATAATTAAATAAAAATATACCTCTTCTTTTATTATTTCGAATATAGGAAAATTTATACACACCTGTTTAAATTTAGTATCATGTCCCTAGTGAGATCACACAAAAACTGTTTATATAACACTTGACTCTCTGTTGCCAAATCACTGTTTTCTGCATTTTCTTCATTAAACTGATAAATATTTATGTTATCTTTCAGAGTTAAAGCCATTTCGGTCACCATATCTTGTATTTCTTTAGGATCATTAACAATTACAGAGAAAGACTCGTTCTTCTTCGGTTCGAATTTAGAAAACGGCAAAGCGGACGGAGGAATGTATGGTGGAGGAGGTTTGTTAGGAATCTGACGATAATAGTTCTGATAGTGTGGAGGCATTTCTTCCTGAGCCAACTGTGCTTCTTTATTTTCAAAACCAAAATCATCGTCAAACCATTCCGATTCTTCCAGGAAATCAGACTTCTGTAAGGGATTAATTAATTAAAAAAATCAATTATCTTAACCACTCGACAGTGAGGGACGGATATATTCGTCCAGGGCAATCGTGTGGCAGTGGTGAGGGACAGATATGTCCATTAAATTCTTTTGGGGTATCGCCAAAAACTACCGCGAAAAAAAAAAAAAAGAATTATGTAACAATAAAAAGACTTTTCTTTACTAGACATAACTGTTTACAAAATCTTTTTCTGAAATGGTCGTGAGAAAAAACACATGGAAAAATACTTTAAAAATTGAAAATGTCTATTTATACATACAGTATGTATAGTCAATTGGCTATTTAACCCTTTTAAAGCCATGATGTAAAGATGACAGTTTTAATGTTATTTATAATTTAGGATATCCTAAATTTCGATTATCAATATCCTAATTGTGATACCCATTATTGAGAAATGAGAATTAAAAATAATGGCACTGAGGAAAATCTTGATAGCAAAATATCAAAATTTTATAATACATCGGTGAAAACATGTTCTTGTTCATTTTGAAATTCTTTTAGGGCACCATGTCGTCATATTTTAATGATAAGAAAATATAATAATTTGGACATATTTTCAAAAACTTGCTTTCATGCAAGATATATTATTTCAATTGAAAATGCACTAAGTATGGATACAGATGTAAATGTAGACATCGATGATGATCATATCGAAGATGAAACTTTTACTGATGATTTTGATTGTCCCAACAAAATATTATTGGATAGGGAAAAATTCAATATGGCACTGGCGATAACTAAAAATATTGCAGATATTTTGTCTAATTATGGAACGCAAACCTTCAATAAATGTGTAGAGGAATTAAAAGTAATAGAAATGTAAGAAATGGAATTTCTCTTTTTGAACACGAGAGTAGTGGGCTTAGTACAATTGAACCAGAAGAACAAATTTGGTCTAATAACGAGCCCTGTTCAAATCAATCAAATAAAAAATTAAATCCAAAGGATGTCCGAAGAGAAAGACTAAGCAGACCACTTTTCACAAAAAAAAAAAAAAAAAAAAAAAAAAAAAAAAAAAAAAAAAAAAAAAAAAAAAAAAAAAAAAAAAAAAAAAAAAAAAAAAAAAAAAAAAAAAAAAAAAAAAAAAAAAAAAAAAAAAAAAAAAAAAAAAAAAAAAAAAAAAAAAAAAAAAAAAAAAAAAAAAAAAAAAAAAAAAAAAAAAAAAAAAAAAAAAAAAAAAAAAAAAAAAAAAAAAAAAAAAAAAAAAAAAAAAAAAAAAAAAAAAAAAAAAAAAAAAAAAAAAAAAAAAAAAAAAAAAAAAAAAAAAAAAAAAAAAAAAAAAAAAAAAAAAAAAAAAAAAAAAAAAAAAAAAAAAAAAAAAAAAAAAAAAAAAAAAAAAAAAAAAAAAAAAAAAAAAAAAAAAAAAAAAAAAAAAAAAAAAAAAAAAAAAAAAAAAAAAAAAAAAAAAAAAAAAAAAAAAAAAAAAAAAAAAAAAAAAAAAAAAAAAAAAAAAAAAAAAAAAAAAAAAAAAAAAAAAAAAAAAAAAAAAAAAAAAAAAAAAAAAAAAAAAAAAAAAAAAAAAAAAAAAAAAAAAAAAAAAAAAAAAAAAAAAAAAAAAAAAAAAAAAAAAAAAAAAAAAAAAAAAAAAAAAAAAAAAAAAAAAAAAAAAAAAAAAAAAAAAAAAAAAAAAAAAAAAAAAAAAAAAAAAAAAAAAAAAAAAAAAAAAAAAAAAAAAAAAAAAAAAAAAAAAAAAAAAAAAAAAAAAAAAAAAAAAAAAAAAAAAAAAAAAAAAAAAAAAAAAAAAAAAAAAAAAAAAAAAAAAAAAAAAAAAAAAAAAAAAAAAAAAAAAAAAAAAAAAAAAAAAAAAAAAAAAAAAAAAAAAAAAAAAAAAAAAAAAAAAAAAAAAAAAAAAAAAAAAAAAAAAAAAAAAAAAAAAAAAAAAAAAAAAAAAAAAAAAAAAAAAAAAAAAAAAAAAAAAAAAAAAAAAAAAAAAAAAAAAAAAAAAAAAAAAAAAAAAAAAAAAAAAAAAAAAAAAAAAAAAAAAAAAAAAAAAAAAAAAAAAAAAAAAAAAAAAAAAAAAAAAAAAAAAAAAAAAAAAAAAAAAAAAAAAAAAAAAAAAAAAAAAAAAAAAAAAAAAAAAAAAAAAAAAAAAAAAAAAAAAAAAAAAAAAAAAAAAAAAAAAAAAAAAAAAAAAAAAAAAAAAAAAAAAAAAAAAAAAAAAAAAAAAAAAAAAAAAAAAAAAAAAAAAAAAAAAAAAAAAAAAAAAAAAAAAAAAAAAAAAAAAAAAAAAAAAAAAAAAAAAAAAAAAAAAAAAAAAAAAAAAAAAAAAAAAAAAAAAAAAAAAAAAAAAAAAAAAAAAAAAAAAAAAAAAAAAAAAAAAAAAAAAAAAAAAAAAAAAAAAAAAAAAAAAAAAAAAAAAAAAAAAAAAAAAAAAAAAAAAAAAAAAAAAAAAAAAAAAAAAAAAAAAAAAAAAAAAAAAAAAAAAAAAAAAAAAAAAAAAAAAAAAAAAAAAAAAAAAAAAAAAAAAAAAAAAAAAAAAAAAAAAAAAAAAAAAAAAAAAAAAAAAAAAAAAAAAAAAAAAAAAAAAAAAAAAAAAAAAAAAAAAAAAAAAAAAAAAAAAAAAAAAAAAAAAAAAAAAAAAAAAAAAAAAAAAAAAAAAAAAAAAAAAAAAAAAAAAAAAAAAAAAAAAAAAAAAAAAAAAAAAAAAAAAAAAAAAAAAAAAAAAAAAAAAAAAAAAAAAAAAAAAAAAAAAAAAAAAAAAAAAAAAAAAAAAAAAAAAAAAAAAAAAAAAAAAAAAAAAAAAAAAAAAAAAAAAAAAAAAAAAAAAAAAAAAAAAAAAAAAAAAAAAAAAAAAAAAAAAAAAAAAAAAAAAAAAAAAAAAAAAAAAAAAAAAAAAAAAAAAAAAAAAAAAAAAAAAAAAAAAAAAAAAAAAAAAAAAAAAAAAAAAAAAAAAAAAAAAAAAAAAAAAAAAAAAAAAAAAAAAAAAAAAAAAAAAAAAAAAAAAAAAAAAAAAAAAAAAAAAAAAAAAAAAAAAAAAAAAAAAAAAAAAAAAAAAAAAAAAAAAAAAAAAAAAAAAAAAAAAAAAAAAAAAAAAAAAAAAAAAAAAAAAAAAAAAAAAAAAAAAAAAAAAAAAAAAAAAAAAAAAAAAAAAAAAAAAAAAAAAAAAAAAAAAAAAAAAAAAAAAAAAAAAAAAAAAAAAAAAAAAAAAAAAAAAAAAAAAAAAAAAAAAAAAAAAAAAAAAAAAAAAAAAAAAAAAAAAAAAAAAAAAAAAAAAAAAAAAAAAAAAAAAAAAAAAAAAAAAAAAAAAAAAAAAAAAAAAAAAAAAAAAAAAAAAAAAAAAAAAAAAAAAAAAAAAAAAAAAAAAAAAAAAAAAAAAAAAAAAAAAAAAAAAAAAAAAAAAAAAAAAAAAAAAAAAAAAAAAAAAAAAAAAAAAAAAAAAAAAAAAAAAAAAAAAAAAAAAAAAAAAAAAAAAAAAAAAAAAAAAAAAAAAAAAAAAAAAAAAAAAAAAAAAAAAAAAAAAAAAAAAAAAAAAAAAAAAAAAAAAAAAAAAAAAAAAAAAAAAAAAAAAAAAAAAAAAAAAAAAAAAAAAAAAAAAAAAAAAAAAAAAAAAAAAAAAAAAAAAAAAAAAAAAAAAAAAAAAAAAAAAAAAAAAAAAAAAAAAAAAAAAAAAAAAAAAAAAAAAAAAAAAAAAAAAAAAAAAAAAAAAAAAAAAAAAAAAAAAAAAAAAAAAAAAAAAAAAAAAAAAAAAAAAAAAAAAAAAAAAAAAAAAAAAAAAAAAAAAAAAAAAAAAAAAAAAAAAAAAAAAAAAAAAAAAAAAAAAAAAAAAAAAAAAAAAAAAAAAAAAAAAAAAAAAAAAAAAAAAAAAAAAAAAAAAAAAAAAAAAAAAAAAAAAAAAAAAAAAAAAAAAAAAAAAAAAAAAAAAAAAAAAAAAAAAAAAAAAAAAAAAAAAAAAAAAAAAAAAAAAAAAAAAAAAAAAAAAAAAAAAAAAAAAAAAAAAAAAAAAAAAAAAAAAAAAAAAAAAAAAAAAAAAAAAAAAAAAAAAAAAAAAAAAAAAAAAAAAAAAAAAAAAAAAAAAAAAAAAAAAAAAAAAAAAAAAAAAAAAAAAAAAAAAAAAAAAAAAAAAAAAAAAAAAAAAAAAAAAAAAAAAAAAAAAAAAAAAAAAAAAAAAAAAAAAAAAAAAAAAAAAAAAAAAAAAAAAAAAAAAAAAAAAAAAAAAAAAAAAAAAAAAAAAAAAAAAAAAAAAAAAAAAAAAAAAAAAAAAAAAAAAAAAAAAAAAAAAAAAAAAAAAAAAAAAAAAAAAAAAAAAAAAAAAAAAAAAAAAAAAAAAAAAAAAAAAAAAAAAAAAAAAAAAAAAAAAAAAAAAAAAAAAAAAAAAAAAAAAAAAAAAAAAAAAAAAAAAAAAAAAAAAAAAAAAAAAAAAAAAAAAAAAAAAAAAAAAAAAAAAAAAAAAAAAAAAAAAAAAAAAAAAAAAAAAAAAAAAAAAAAAAAAAAAAAAAAAAAAAAAAAAAAAAAAAAAAAAAAAAAAAAAAAAAAAAAAAAAAAAAAAAAAAAAAAAAAAAAAAAAAAAAAAAAAAAAAAAAAAAAAAAAAAAAAAAAAAAAAAAAAAAAAAAAAAAAAAAAAAAAAAAAAAAAAAAAAAAAAAAAAAAAAAAAAAAAAAAAAAAAAAAAAAAAAAAAAAAAAAAAAAAAAAAAAAAAAAAAAAAAAAAAAAAAAAAAAAAAAAAAAAAAAAAAAAAAAAAAAAAAAAAAAAAAAAAAAAAAAAAAAAAAAAAAAAAAAAAAAAAAAAAAAAAAAAAAAAAAAAAAAAAAAAAAAAAAAAAAAAAAAAAAAAAAAAAAAAAAAAAAAAAAAAAAAAAAAAAAAAAAAAAAAAAAAAAAAAAAAAAAAAAAAAAAAAAAAAAAAAAAAAAAAAAAAAAAAAAAAAAAAAAAAAAAAAAAAAAAAAAAAAAAAAAAAAAAAAAAAAAAAAAAAAAAAAAAAAAAAAAAAAAAAAAAAAAAAAAAAAAAAAAAAAAAAAAAAAAAAAAAAA